TATTTCTGAAAAATCACATTCACCATTTTGAAATGCTTCAACAAAATAAGGGTTGTCGGAGCCAAATTAGTTTGGGGCTCTTAATTTTGTGTGGTCTAGTAACTTATTATGTAATGTTTTGAAAAATTTTGTCGCTTTGTTATGTATCTTTAGTAGATCTGCAACACTGCATTACTGTAGTAACCAGTGCTGTGCAGTGCTATGCAGTATCAGAAGGTTTACGTTTAATATAAAGATTTTCGACCTATTCTATCAATGACTAATTGTGCGTATTAAAAAATATTATGCATGCGACAGCATTCAATTGACATTATTTTTAAAATGAAATCAGCAGAAGCTTCTTTGTTAACGTCTTAATACTATTTTATTGGGACTAGAATTGTTTGAGCAGGTTTAAATTGCAAATTTAAGTCTTCCATGTATTACCTACATACGGATATATGTAATATTGCGTTGACATTTTATATTGCGACTGCATTTAAAACGAAACATTTTATTTGTACTGCAATCCAATTAAAAAAGCGCTCACTTCAAACTAAATTATCGATGGAAAATTTATCTGGTATAATGTTTTTTCGCATTAAATGAGAAAATAATTTTTAACAAAAATTTTAGATCATTAAAACTGAAAAATTCTGTACATCTAATGTTATTTTGGCGACATTCATCAAACTAGATAGTAATGCAGTCTATATAGTAAATCATTAATTTCATATATGCGGTCGTTGCTTTAAATTGCAATAAAAACTTTGCAAATGTATTAAAATCTTTTTTGTTTTTAATTTTCCTATTACATACTTTCAATTCTTTAGTAAATCATTAAAAATAAAGAAACGTTTTTCATTTTTATTTGCCTTTTTATCAAAAACTATATGTTGCTTTGTATCAACCAACACAATCTGCTGAAAATTCCAACTAGGCGGGTAAGGAAGTGAATCAACATTTTCTTTTTATTAACTTACTTGATTTTGAAATTAAAGAAATTTATAAATATGTAGGTATATGTACATATGTGTAGGGAGAAAGATATATAAATCAACTGAAGAGAAAAGATAAAAAAAATGTGCGTACGTTTATATACATACTCGTAGGCCGATGACAACTAACACTTTTTGAATTGGAAATGTCTTATAACCGTCCGCCAATTCAAATTGAAAAATATAATAGTTAAAGTTAAGAAAAAGAAAACATGTTCAGTTGGAAATCTATGGAGAAAAGACAATAGACACAAAAATAAAATTAAATTAGTTCTATAAATATTGACGCATCTACCTTAAATACATTAAGATTGTCATTTATACTTTAAAAAATATCAACAGTGGAGAAAGGAAAAAAAAAATTAATTGAATTTAAACATTTTTTTACTTGATAAATTTCTAGATTTGTTCAGTAACCATTGCAATTTTCGCACAATATTTAATCAAACCATAATACTTAACTTACACTGTTGTCTGAAAGCTGGTATATAACTACGATTCTTATTGATAAACTATGTTGCAAGTTTAAGGTTTCGTTGGTAACAAATAAAAAGAATAATATTTCTGTTATCTGTTGCTCGAAAAACAAATTGACCCAACAAAAACCAACACACAAAAATGATTGTTTACCTTCAAAAATCTTAATTTAAATAGAAAGGGCGATCATTTAGTAAAATCAGACAAATTGATCATGGCCAACTGAGACTGCCGAAGATAAATTTAATAAGGCACCGTTTATCCATATTCATTCGATCATTCGAAAACGAAAAATTCTCTTTTATACAGAGTTCGCGGTTAAAATCAATTTCAGTGCAAGTGCATATTTGTATACTTTGCTGAGATATCATAGAGAATAATTAAGTGATTAACTCGAATATACTCTTTTATAAAATATACGAATTTATACTGAAAACTGCAACAATTTTAATCCGTCACTTCAATCGTTCGGTATGTTACGTCTAAAGGAATACGGATATACATTCAAATTTTTCACAGCAATGTTTATATTGGCGATAAAAAGTATCTTAAAGAAGGCAGTTACAAATTTTGTACTCATTTACACGAAATAATAATATTCCACTTCGTTGTTATAAGGCATAGAGTTAATAACAAAATAAACAGAATAAAGAAAAAATGAATTGGCTGCGGCGACTCTTTACCACCTTTATTGTTTTATACATCCTATTGTCACAATATTTTTTTTTATCCTACTTTATATTATAACATAAGTGTGTTTTTACAAAATATTTTAAATGCATGTATGTATATATAGTGTGTAAGTACATATAAGTACACTTACATACATTCATTTGTGTCGGGAAATATTTCAAATACAACTGCGTGATAAGAAAGCTAAATGATTGTTAATTGAATGCAATTGATGAGACAATATACTCATAGAGAGCCTCAACTAAAAACCCTTATTATAAGATTTCATGTACAGTACACATATATACAAGCATACAAAGACATAAAATAAATATATATAGTATACATTATACTGGTACTGATAAAGCAATTTAAAATAAAAAATCGAATGACCTTACTTAAAGTATTTTTGTTTAGAATCTTAGCTTCTTGTTATAACAAAGTTAATAACAATCAATCGTAATAAAACAAAAAAGAAAATCAAGGAAAGTAAAATACTGAATTCTAGTATATGTACTCGTATAAGAATAATATAATTGATGATGGTCAAATAAATTTAACAAAATAAAACTACATACTTTAGATGGAAATACAAGCGGATAAATTAATATGAGATATTCTCGACGTTGTGCAGAATTCATAATTTTTCAATAAAATAAAATTGTCAATAATATGAAAAGAATAATGTCTTGAAATTAAATCTAATGAATGCAAACATACTTATAGGTATAGTTGAATATGTGCTTGTAAACAATGCACGGAACTAAAGTGCACGCTGGCGACTGACGCTCTTAAATACCAGCATTTTTTTTTGTTGTATTAAGAGTTAATTTATGTATAGTTTTAGTGTGTTGATGTTTTTTTTTTTAGAATTTTTAATATAGATCAATTTAACATTCACGCGGTAGCTAATAATTATTGAAGAGCTATAAAAGTTCGTACGTATACTTATTGAAAAACACAAAATAGTCATTCGATTTTACCAAACTTGTTGCCATAACTTCAACTGTTTCAGAAGTTTTCAGAGGTATAAGAAAAAGTTCTGCCTCGTATTTATTACTTTTTCCCAATAATCTCAACAATTTTTTTAAATTAAATCCGAAAGTTGCTTTTAGGTCATTCAAAAAGGCTTCTCTGTTATCTTTAAATTCTTAAGCATTCATCCATATTTCCATTTAGAGTGATATTCAATATTAGCAAATCTACGAAAATAGTGAAACTAAATAACATTTCGTTATTTTCATTAAAGTGATTTCGGGTTGCTACAATTACATACAAAAAATAATTTGTACCTGGAACAGAAGGACGAAAAAAAAATTTGAATATTCTTTTTCAATTTATTTAAACTTCAATAAGTTTTTGTTCTTGAAAACATCATTTTATAAGACTGAAATTTTAAGTTCCCATCATCACGTAAGTATGTTATGTCCTAACCATATGAAACTATGTAAATTGTACTTAAGACCAATTTTTCTTATCTTATGTAGAGAGCGTCTCTTAATTAACTCAATTAGACATTTTATAAAACCAATGCTGACTTATGAAAATATTTTCCTTTATTATTAATGTTATATTTAAAAATGTGCTTCTAAATACGAAATTATGCAGAGAGAAAAGAAAATAGAATAAAAAGAATTTTACCTTCAAGGACCGAAAGTCCTTGGCTGTTGACATTTTACGATTTTGAAATTCTTACTCTCATAATTTTAAATGGCCAAGTTTTTTTTTTAAGTTTGTTTACACAAAATATTTTCATCTTAAAAATTTTTTATTCTGTTTTACATTTTTCAGCTTTTAAAGGGCAAATTTCGAGCACCTCTACATCAACAGTTTTAAAAATAAAAATGTACTTTCTTGAAAACTATTAATTAGGTGCGAATTTGCTTATCTTTATTTTAGTTTCTTGGTCATTGTATGTGTAGTACCTTTTAAATGAATTATGAATTTCTCCTTATAATGAAGCATTATGATTCTTTCATAATCTTCGTAGTTATTGTGTATAGAAATAGTGTGTGTAATGCAAAAAACAAAATAAAAATATTTTATTTCTTGCTTTATTTTTAGTTCCTTCCTTTCCTGCATAATTATTTCTTTTTTTAATTAAAATTTAATTTTATTTAGCACACCTTCTTTGCTTTTTCTTAAAAATTTTAGTTTGACTTCGTTCAGGCATCAAAATGGTCCTGAAACTTATAAGCGCAACATAAGTATTCGAAAAATTTTTCGTCTAAATTAGCAAATATTTCCAATTTTTTGGTGAAAATTGTTGCACTTAGTTTTCTAAAGAGAGAACTTATTGTAAGCTTACTTTAGCAGAAGTAGAATTTTCTAAAAGCAAACTTTTGCCAAGAAATTATTTCAATATTTTTTATTTAAGGTTACCCATCAGCAAAATTTTCCATTAGTTTTTCAATTATTTGGACCCTTTATCTCGATAGTTGCTCGCAAGCATAAAATTTACTTTTTAATTAAATCAAAATTTCTTATGGAGGCCAATAATTGATAAATTTTTGATTTCGTTTTATATTATGCCACCCTAATGGCATTATTCCTTTCTCGAAACCTTTGACACAACTTTCTAATTGAAATTTGAAATCTTTCAAAAAATATTGCCGGATCGATATCATATCAGCAGATCATACTCGTATGCACATAAAAAAATGAATTCAGGAATAATAAAAAGTTTTATCTCTAAAAGAAAATCAAACCATTAATAAAACACCTTTTATATTTAATAACGACAAGACAGGAGTTTCGTAAAATACTTTAGAAAGGCTCTTATCCCAACGAGCAATAAAGTAAATTATTAAATTCTTTCACACTCACTTTACTATCAAAACAAGAAAATTCATTTCAACTTTTTTTTAATTTCAGATGGTGCGTTGCTTGATCTTTTGTGTACATGCATTTTGGGACGATTAGAACATTTCTTTTAGTACAGAATTATATTCGGAACGTAAGTATTCTATTAAGATGAATAAATAACTTTAAAAATACATGTTTCATTAATAAATAAAAAAAATAGAAACTACATGTGAGCCAAGAATTTGAAGAAATTTTTCAATTAAGTAAAAATTGCAACAAATTTACCTTGTCTTGGGCTCACAGCTAAAATAAACGCCTGCTCTAAAGAATAGCTTCCTTCTAAAAACATTAGTTTTGCGTTTGAATCGATTTCAAAGTCTCCTAAAATTCCAGAACCAATAAAAAAATTCAAATAAAAATGAATAAAAAACAATTTCTCGATTTTCTGTAGGCTAAGAAGACTTCAAAAGTGCCTACTCTAACTTAGTAAAACCAAACTTAATTCTATGCATCCTCGGATTTCTAGGACACAAAGCTATTCTGGCTAAATTAAAATTCTCAATCCGTATGCATTGCATTACTCTTTTTCCATATTTATTTTTTCTCATTCCTCCTTTATTCTGTATAGAATTGTTCGTTTAAATGGTTAAATGGATTTGCCTACATGCTTATCGTACACAAAATTCTATCCAAGTTGCATTATGCATGAAATGTATTGAATATTCTGGTGCATATGTGTTGTACATTACATGTGGTCTACTTTTGAATCAATATTGAATTACATTGTTTATTTCGCTATTTTATTCTTTTGCACTTATTACGAAAAGCTTAAAGAAAAAACTAAACAAACATAATTTTTTTTGGTCCTTTCATCATTTCAATAGATTCGCGTTTTATAACTGTGAATGAATACCTTTTCATAATCATTTGCAACTGTCAGAGTTCTGTTGAATTTTTGTTTTATTTTTGCTTTTGTCGTTTTGCTTTTTCTAAAGAAAAATTGAATGCAGAAGTCGTTGTTATTTCCTGAAAGCTGTAAATGAATTTACGGTTTTATATTCGTCATTATGATATTTTTCAAGCATTTTGCTTTAATTGCTACCTTATATTTTGTCTCATTAAAATTGTTGTATTCTCTTTATGAATTAAAATGAGAATGAAAAATAACTAGGAATACAAATTTTCATTTCATTCCGTTTCCTTTTGTTTATCGTTCTCACAAAGTAAATAGTGAATAACGTAACATTCTAAGCTACATAATTAAAAAACAAAGTGTGTTATAATTTTAACTCATCACGTTTCTAATGAAATATTTTTTTCGACTGATCATTCTTTCTCTTCTGAAGAGTCGAATGCAAAATTAAGCTTACTAATCTTGTTGTAAAAATTTCAATTCTGCATTATGTCATTTATTATTAATCTCATTCTCTTTTAAGCAAAATCTTTTACTGATTATATTCATATGACATTTGAAAGTCAATTTATCAGCACAAAATGGCGAAGGAATTAACTGCATTAATGAGTTCATCATTGTCACAATCATCAATAAGAGGTGGAACAGATTTCCATGTGTTTCTAACAAGTTTCACTTAGGTTATTTTTGTTACATAAGTTTGGAGAAGAAGAAACCTCCTCTTAAAATTGAAAGATATTCTCTAGAAGTCTAGATAAACGAATAACTTGAAAAATTTCATATCACCTGTAAATTATAATCTCACAAAATTGATTAAAAATATGAGATCGCCTACTCCAATAACAAATAACAGAGGGTCCAAATTACTGCCTTACGAAATGATTTATATAGTTGGATGTAGTGCGGGATACGAACCATCTTCATAATTCATTTTTTAATTTCAATACAATTTTTTGCATTTTGTGTGTGTGTTCGGTGTGAGAAATATACTGCGACATTTCCACAAGTGAAAATTCGTCAGTTTTGACTCAAATTGTTCAGTTTTTACTTTTATTCAGCAGACAATATGACTTTTGAAAATTCTTGTTATTTTTACTTTTTTGACTAAAAACATTTTAAGTTTTCTCTAATATTGTAAAGAGGATGAATTATACGAGTATGTTATTTAAATACGCCTTCGACCAAGGTTGACAAAACAAGGCATAAACATCCTTCTTCAAATGATATTTTTGCTTTTACTTAAAAAAAATCCTCTTCATTGTTTAAACGAAGTTCAATGTTTAAAAGGAATACAACTAACATACATACGAGTATATGCTAGTTTTATTTTCTTTTAATTAAATTTTGGAAAATAAAAGGAAAATTATAAAAAATGTGCATATGCTCTTGTTTCATAAAAGTAAGTAAAAGAAAAAGGATCAATAAAGGGAATAGCATTTCTGAAATTTTAAATCTTAACTGAAATGCGTTTTTTGAGCAAAAAAACAGGATGGTCTATATACAGGATGGTCTAGAACTGGTGTTAGGAAAAAAATTGTTCATGTGGCGGGGAGGAGAGAGGAAACTGAAATTTTCTTTTTAGCAAATCTGATTGAAGAAACTCTGTCTGACAAATATACAACAGCTTTGAAGCTGTTGAAGTTTGAGTAATGTATTACTGGCGACTCCTTCTATATTCCAACTCCATATAGAGGTGATTGGGGGAGAGGGTGAGGTACTTTTTTGACTTAGTTTGATTTATCTTTTTTTTCCTAAAAGCTGTTTTACGAAAATCAATATTATTTATCGAAACATTAATCAAAAATTAATGTTATTTCAAGTATTAACAAAAGCCCTTATTCTTGTTTCATAATGACTTTAATTCCTGACTTTAATCCCGGGCATCCGTTATTCTCAATGTAAATATACTGATAATAATTTTTTTCCAGAGTGTATTCAAAGGCACGTTGGTGAAAATAAATATGAAGTCTTTATTTAATTATTTTTCTTTACTAAATTTTGTACAATTGTTTTTTGAAATAATTTGACTCTGGTTGAGTATTAAGTAAATTTCAAATTCAAAGAAATTTTTACTTGATATTCTTTTTTGATTTTAAATTTAGATTTTCCAACGACAACAACTTTTAGTCGAATACGCAATTCTCATATTTTTTAATGCTGCTTTGTTTTTCAATATTGGTTTTTCCATGCAATCACTTACTCACAACAATAAGAACTCTACTAACCTAATACAAAAATTTAGGAAAGTACATTATTTAGCAAAATTATTCAAAGATTTATAATTAAGTTTAATTGGATCTTCCTCTATATACGTTTGCAACAGTTTTATTATACAGAATAAACCACTTTTAATATAAAAAATTTCATAGAGAATTTTGCATTTGAAATTTGTGCAGTCTTCGGCCTCATTACAGCTCAACAGGTTTCTTCGATTTTCTTTTAGAAATTAGGTATACAATTAAACATTAGGCTTGTTTCTAAACTATAGGTTTTCCTCAAAATTAGGTTTTCATAACGCTAATTGTAATGGCACATTTGCGAACTCAAAAGGACTTTATTTTAGAGTTTTATACAATACCTTATAAGAATAGAAAAGAGTTTAGAACAAGAATTTAATATTAAATGATATGGTCCTACGGCTACATTACGTCTTCTTTTAAAATAACAAGAAAACACGGGAATTAACTTATACATTGTTGCTGATATAATTTAATGCTTTTAGCAAAGTAATAGAAAAAAATATTTTTTAAGGCAGAAATTCGTTGCACTTTAAATGCTTTTACAGTAAGAGTGTAAGCATTAAGTTTTATGTAAAAGTATAACTTGAGAACATCTTATCGTGTTCTTCAAAACTGTTTTATTTCAATAAACAAAGTGCACAAAGTGAGGAAGTTTGTTGCACCAATAAGAGTCAAAACAAAAATTTTAAGCATCAGAAAAAAAATAAGAAAAAAAAACACAGGATATTTGAAAATACACCAAACATACATTTTTCTATTTGAGTATACACTTACGATTGTAATTTTAACCCTTTTAGGGTTTCTTTATTTTGTAAGTTAATATTCTGCTTTACTCCTTATTCTCGCAAAAAAAGAAAGAAATCCATTTCAAAATTTTATTTTATTTTGCAACATTGATACATTTTTTAGATATTCAAACGTAATTAAGATAAACGCAATAACAAATTCGGGCTCAAAAATCATTTTTGAAAACAGTTTTGAATTAAAACGTTCGAGCCGAAAGATACAAAATGAAACTTTCAGAAAAACTAAAATTTTTTCAATTAGAAAAACTATCCGGATTAAGTGTGAACATGTGATAATGGTTTTGTGAAGTATGGAAAACAAATTTTTTGGAAAGCTACTTAAATAATGTAAAATGCAAATGTCGCAATTCACGAAACTAAAAATTGAAAGACTGATCATATAGTATACGAAAAGAGAGTTTGGCAAGCTTTTATACTAAAACTTTCGTACTTGAAAGGTGACTTCTTGGACAACAAGACCTCTGAAAACAATTTTTTTTTTCTACTAGATGAAAAAATCTCGAAAGACGAAGAAGGGAGGGGCTACCTGCCTTTTTCCTCCGACGGTGGGGGACTGTGACTACTACCCCAAAAAATCACCTAAACTCTAAACGGAACCCTACAGGAATTAAATACCTTAAATAAGGAAATTGGTATTTTGTGTTAAATCGAAAGGTCTTGTTCGTTAAGGTCTTTCTGTAATAACGCCATTGTCTAGCAGTTGAACTGCTTCCACATTTACATGTTGTTCTAGTCGAGCCCTATGCTTTATAGCACAACTCCTAATTTCATCTACATCCAAAGAAACCCCTAACTCCCTGTGGATGTCACCGTTACGTACACACCATGTCACATTTACGATGCCCCGTAGAACTTTATTCTGGAAGGTTTGAATTTTTTTAATGTGAGTCTTCTTGACATTGGTTTAATGATTTGGCTATAAATCAATATTTTATTATCAATTGCCAAATTGGACTTGCGACCTAGGGACCAATAATTTTCTTTATATTTATTTTCCAATTCTATGTGTTTCTTCTTTATATGCTCTTTCAACCTTAGCTTAATATCTAAAGTCATTCCTAGGTATTTTGCTGAGTTATGGATTGCTACGTTCGTTCGATTTAAGTTAATTTATGGTGGATTCACTATTTTCCGATTCGTGAAGTTTTTGTGAACCGATTTTGCTTCATTCAACCTTGTTTTCCAATCCCTA